TCCATCGTCTGTATCCTACTTGCCATGTCGCTTTTCTTTTCTTTCTTTTTGTCTAAATAGTGTTTCATTTTGTTTTTGTTTTTCCTTACGGATGTCAACCGGACACATCCTATCCTAATTAAAAGCATTAAAATCCAAAATTAGTATCAATCCTACAGAAGAATTGCGGTTTCCAGATCAGTATCGTGTTCTAAATGTCAAATTTAGTGTGCCCAGTTGAGTTAAGATTTCTTGTTTTGTTCCGTTCTGTGCCCAATTGCAAATAATGTACTATTCCTTGCTGCATTACTTTTCCTACCACATTATACTCTACACTATAAATTGAGAATGACATTTTTTACGTACAAACTGTTTAAAAAAAAATGAAAAAAAGAGAGTATACTTTGTATTATGAAACTCACAAAATACTTTTAATGAAATTTATTCAATAATGTTATTAAATACTTTCATGAATTAAACTGCATGTTATCTAAACTAGAAAAAAAAAAACATTTCTGATATAAATTATTTGAGTTGTAAAATCTAATACTTTTTCATTAGCTGCATTATGTGCATGGATATAGTTATATAAATTTTTTAATATTATCTTTTAAATCATTAATTCTATTTAATTTTATTGTTATAAGTATAAAAATTAGTTGATAAATAATAAAATAATTAATATTTATTATGTAATATATTAAAATTAATTTCTATATTGATATTTTTAAATATTAAAACTAATCAATTAAAAAATATATATTAATGTTTGTCTTGGTCAAAACACGGCCCTGCATTACCTGTTCGTTTTTCTCTCGGTAAATTCTCAAGGGATATACCTTCTGGGTTGCAGGACCCATACTGCCACCTGACCACTGGTCCAAACACTGCTTTCTACAGAAGTTCAATTAATTTCTTCAATAATGTTCTGCTATATTAAAGAAAGAAGTTGGTTAAAGGAAAAAAGAAAAAAGCTGTGTACGCATTCTGCAATATTTTCTACATTTTTTCACCTACTCTTAGAAGGATACCTCCAGCACTGTTTTTAGTATTAGATGTCTAGATCTCAATAGATTTTTTTTTAAAGGAAATTAAAATGTCATTCCATCGTTTAACAAATTTACATAGCTAAAAGCTGAAACAATCATAATTTATTGACAACAAGTTTGTTAATAAATGGTATTAAATTAATAAATATACAATAATTTATTTTTTATCAAAAAAAAAAAACCAATTATATTATGTTGTTAACATATATGCTTTATTGTCGATAAATTATTTTCTTTGCTAAAATAAAGTTATGATTCAATATACATACAAGAACGGTTCATGGCACTGGCTGGCTTACAAACGCGGGAAGAAATCATTCCTCACGTGTGAAAACACATGGTGAAACTTTGACTGGTCATGGAATCCCACATTTGGTGATGGAATAGCTTTCGATACCATTCCACATCATTAGTCTTGCACAGTTAGTGGGATTATAAAGGAACAACTTTAAGGTTTATTTTAACTTTCCACAGAATTGCAGACTATTTTTCATAATAATTATGTGCCCTTGACTCTTAAACTAAAGCATCCAAAACCAAAACCAGGCCATTTCCATGCTCATCTCCTTTGTCTTTGGATTTATATGATGGAATTATATCTTTTACCTTTGGGGAAAGCTTTGATAAGAAAGGGAGATGGTAATGATGTTGTTTTGGTCATGGAGAACAGATCAGAGATGTTATGGTCAAAGGACCAAATATGAAGACCAGTCTTTGCATTATTGGGAGGGTCACTAAGCAGCGCTTCTGTACTTCTGAGGACCAAAAGCTGTATCTACTTATGAATTGGAAGGCAAATCATATTGCAAATATCATTTCGTGGAGTTCAATCATAATGTTTTTAAAGCTTCCCCATACCCACCATTTCTTTTCAAGATCCTCATAAGAGAGGCTAAAAGGAAGAGTTTAAAATTTGTTCTTGTTCACAACAGGACAGGTCCCACATAGACCCTCCATTAACTCCTCAATTTTCTCTACTAACAAAACCCCACAAAAAGGAAAAAAAAAAAAAAAAAAGACATTCCTATTCCCTCAATGTTTTTCCATGCAAATTAATACAACCCTTTTGCTACTATAACAAAGCAGAGTAGGACTATGCATCTGTCCATGCAGTAAAAACTGGCATGTGAGGCACAGAGAGGGCAGGCCTAAGCTGAGCTGAAGGAATCCAAGAATTCACAGTACTTGTGCTAGTGAACAGCTTGGATGCTGTGGGAGGAGGCATGGCAAATAGCATTGGTAGGCTGGTCCTATCAGGACTGCCTTCTCTTGAGCTGCTCAGGCTAGTCACTAGTGAAGAAGCATTGGACAAGTGAGTGCCCATTTTCGCTGAGTCTTCCATCTCCCGCTGAGCTGTTGTGTTGATTGTTTCAATCCCAGCCACATTGTTTGGTGCCAATGTGAAAGTCTGTTGAGTCTTGTAGTTATCGACAATGTTTGACTGCTCCTGCTCAAGTTGCTGAGAGGACTGGTAGAGGACCATCTTCCAGTCCGGTTCACCTTCGTTGTTCTTTGGTGAGATGATAGTTTCACCATTTCTGTTATCAGTTGTGGAGTTGTGATTAGCAGCCTCACGGCCATGTCCTATATCCTTGTTTCGCCTGGCAAGTTCTCCAGCAAGAAGGGTATTGCTGGCCATGATTCGTTCCACATCATACCTTGTTATGTCAAAGTTTGTTACAGCATTTATCCCACGAAATTTTATAGCCGCTATGTCATAAGCTTCTGCCGCTTCCTCCTGAGTGCCTAAAGTTCAGTTCAGTGTGAAGGGAATTAGCTTTATTGAACTTAATCCAAGCACTGAGTTCAAATTTTCTTTTCATATCTGTTTGTGGAAAAACAGCCTTATAAAAAGCTTTTACTAGTGCCCAAAAACAGGCTTTTTCAGAGTGTACAAAAACAGCAGCCTAACGCAGACATGATTAAAGAATATTGAAACAAAGGAAACTTAAATGGTTTTTTGAGAACTCACTGAATGTTCCGAGATAAAGGTCCTTGTTTCCGGCAACTCTGCCAATCCGAGCTTGCCATCTTCCATGTTGGTGGTGTCTGCAGAAAAATTGAAACAGGAATATAGATTTTAAGAGAGAGGAACTGCAATAATTCCATGACATAATCTTACATACAAAGGGAAGATAACAAGACCTTGTCACTCCTCTATAAATCGAAGCCCCCCTTGAGAATCCACTACTTTTCCTGCATAGTCGAAACCTTGTTAGCAAAATCACCAAAAATCATTGTAAAGAAAGAAATGCACCATAATGGAATGAACAGAAACCCAAGATTCACCTTCTCAAGTGAGCAACATACTCCTGTCTGGTCATTTTCTCCATTTCTTCAAGTTCTTTTTGGTAATTTTCCAACTGTCAAAACAACACAGCAGTTTTAATTCAGTAACTAAAACCTGAGAAAGGTCCCCCCACAGGCTGCAACCACAAGACCGGAGAATTCCAGCATTACCGGGAAATTGATATGAGTGGAGGGTCCCCAGTACTTGAGTGCAGCTAAATCATATGCTCTTGCAGCTTTTTGTTCCATGTCATAACCCCCTGAAATTGGAATATTGGAATGACTTAGAAAATAATCAACACACACAGTATCCACAATGATGGTTTCCACAATCATAGATTCTCTTTATGTATATTCTTTCACAAGGACTTACCTAAATAAACTGAAACCATCATTTCATTGAAGATCCCAGCATGCAAGAGAAACATAACTATGAGTAACATGTTCTGTACAATAATTAAGCTCAAGAACAAGAACTATGAAGTAAAATTGCCTTTTCTAAACTTACCTTGTCTTCCTTTCCTGCTCTGACCTTCTTTCTTGCAACTATTGTCCCATAAATGCGCTTCATATCTTCCAGTCCATCTATGCCTGAGTATGAAAATTATAGCTTTCAAAACCAGAATTTTAGAGAAGAAAAAAAAGGATGCAAAATGCTTAAAAAATAGCAGGTAAGAAAACCCAACCTTGTAACACCTCTGTATTGAGAGGTTCTCTGGCCGAAGGTATCAATGGACTTCCTATGAACAATCTGTTTCTGATCCAATTTCTCAGGCCCTCTTTTCTTTGTCTCCATGACTGCACAATCTGTGACAGTGGGAGAGATTTGATGTGAACCAGTTACACAGCTTGATTGGGAGCCAGGGCTCATGGACAGGCTCAAGGACTGTAAATCTCCATATGTAATTGCTCCAAAAGACCCAGATTCACCTGCATTATCACCCATGCACCCAATCATTTTCTGCTGCATTTCATGCTCACTTGGGAAGTTCCTGGAAACCCAGTTCTTCATTCCAGTTGCTCCATCATCCCCCATTGTTGGGAGCTGCAAACTGCAGTCTGTGACATGGGTTCCTTTAGCTTCATCTCCTAGCAACACCTCATGGTTTCTAAATCCTGAGAAGTATTGGTACTGCTGGACCTGAATCTGCTGCCTGGATGAATGTTGCATATTGTCTAGGCAATTTTGATTGTTTTGTTCCTGGTCTTGATTTTGGTGGTAATACATACAGTCTAAACTGAGAGCCATAGCTCCTTTGTCACTGCTTGCATACTGATGGGTCCCCATGGCAGCACCAGCAAAGAAATCCTCCAGTTTTGGAGTTGTAGTAACCATTGCTTCACAAGAAAAGTCAAGACAGAAGAGTCCAGAAATGTAAGAATAATAATAAAAAAAAAAACAAACACTTTACTCATTTTTGTCAAAGGAAAGAAGTATTAGGTAGAAATTTGAGGCTAACCTGTGGGCTCTGACCTGCTAAGTGCTTCTATGATACAGAGTGACCCATCAGACTTGAGTGGCATGAGAGGAAAGTGAGGATATACGGCACTATTTTCTGATCCTTCAACTCCATAGAAGAGGCCATAATTAAGTTGAGGTGGGGATTGGAAAAAGTTGGAGGGAAGTGCAGTGGGAACACTAACACCACCGGCACCGGCGGTGGCTGAAACAGAGGGGGACTGTGTTTGAGGTTGAGGAACCTCCATTTTCATACTGGGTGACAGAGAGAAACCTAACCAGTTGTTGTTTTGGTCATCATTACCGATGGGCTTCATCTTCTAGCCTATGTTGCTCCTTTCCCAGCACAAGCAGAGATTCTAGGCAAGTATTTGTTGGAGCAAGGCAACTCAATCATTGGGAAAGAAATAAACAAAGCATATATACACCCAATTCCATTTTGAAAACAGGAGAGGGGAGAGGGTGGTTTTGTTTTGTAGCTGCAGAAGGTGATTGGACCAAAATCTATCAACACGTCTAAAACAAATCCAAAACTCCTGCAAATGAATCTATGCCCCTCTCCTCTCTCTCTCTCTTACTGAAAAGATTTCTAAAGAGAACAAAGCAAGTTCCTTTAAACTAAACAAAAAGAATGAGTTTGCGCAAGAAATGCTGGGCATACTTCCTGCATTCCATAGGGATCTGTGTATGAGAAAGACCTCTTCCATCTTTTGCTTTATATATACTGCCCTACGCTACTTTTCTTTTCTTTAAGACATCAAGATAACCCTTAAATCCACACGTTAAAATGCATTATATTAGAGAGATTTCTGTACTCAGGACATTAATTACGAGTACTGCTTGGAATCCAAGAAACTCATTTTTATATTTTGATAGGAGATAGGACTGCCTATTCTGGTTCTGCTGCCTACTCAGTACCCAAAAAATCCAGCAGTCATAGTCAGGTACCTTCTCTTTTCCTTTCCCTCGGTTAAATTACATATGAATTGAGGAACGCTTGCTGCACTGTACTTAGTCATTGCTAGGCCGAGTATACCTTAATTTTTTTAAAAACAAAGTAAATAATTTAGCACTCCACAGTCCACCAAGTATAGCTAACGTATCTCCTTACAATTACATGATAGCTCTGTGTATTAGTAATATAGTTTGGTGATATATTACCAATATATATATATATATAATTTGGTGATAAAATTATTTATATTTTTAATTATGTATTTAAAATTTAATCTACAATCTATACGTATAAAAAAAATTTTACATGGTAGCTGTCTTGTAGTCTATGGAAGTGTTGTAGATACAATAAATATGAGGAAAAACCTCAACTTAGCCCTTCAACTAATTTTTAAAGGTTTTCCTCTTTAAGGTTATATTTTTTTAGACATATAAGTCCTTGGGTAAATGGACTGGAATTTAACACCGAATTGAACATGACCCTATCACCCTATGCCTACCATCTTTTCTTGCCTTGGTCACAACTATAGCTCAACTCTCATATGCGTTGTTAAAGAACCATTTGGACAGATTCTCTTCTAATTCAATTGCGCACACTTTAGTCAAGTAGGCGGTTAGGTATGGACTAGAATTACCCAGAGTTGAACTAACTCACCAGTCACTAAATGTGTAAGCCGATTGCAATCCTCATTATTGCAAAACCAAAATTTAATTGTATATGACGTAGGTCTTACATAAATTATTAACTACAGGCGTTTAATGGTGATAAAAACCTTTATTCATAATAATTGTTACTAGAGAGGAATGTAAGTCCAAGAATAAAAGTTGGGCCCTTGGGAGAGGAGAGAGGGTGTAAAGTAAAGAATTCCCCCATAATTTATTGTGGCAGCAATTGTATTTTGTAAGGGTGCAGCACATAAATATTGTGCATAAAGTCATAAACCGCGTACTGCAGCGGCTTTAATTGCCTCAGGCTTTTGAGGAGGCCTTCAATAGATTTTAGCAGGCAGGAAGACAAACTGTACAACTGATCAGCCTTCCTACCTGCCAATCCCTGCAAGGATAGAACGATGTCGTTTCAAGGAATTTGCTTAGTGGTATTATACTGAGGAAATGTTTAGGGTAGTAGTTCAATTATAACTGACAGTCCAACTAATAATAATGTCATTTTTAATTTAAATATTTATTTATCTGATTAGTTTAAACAACTCACATTAACATTAAACCTACGTAACAAACACCCCCAAAGTTAGTAGCTATGTGTCACACTTTGACTGGCTTTTGCTTTGTCTTTTAGCATGTTGTTTTCATATACTATTTTGTTCATATGAAGTTCATTGTTATGTTATTAAAGAATTAAGTAATTTAATAATAATATTCTTTTAATGTAAGTAAAAGATTATGAGTTTGTTTTAATGTAACTATGAGATTATAAGTTTGAATCACATGTCAAACAAATAAAATGAGGTAAAATTAAAAAATATATATATTATCTTTTGATGCTATCCATAAAAAACAAAAAAAGTTCATTATTATGTTGATTTATTTTGAAAACTACATTTATCATATACTCAAGATAGTGTTGACTATACCAATAATATGTTGATTCGAATAAAAAAAATTCAATTCTCTTTAAGTAATGTTTCAAATTTGAGTCTTATAAATGAAAAAATAAGCATCAAGAAAGCTTTTCTTTTATGAGATCTAATGCGACTAAATTCTAAATTAATCAAAGTTTAATGTAGATTTTAGATATCAGAAAATTAACATAAAAAAATACAGTGTTGACTATGGAGTATGGACAAACAAACTATGAAAGTTTGCTAAAACCATGTGATACTATCATCTTAGCAAATAATTAAGGGATTTTTTAATTTATACTCTTAGAGTATATGTTAAACTTAATTAAATATAATATTTACAATTAATTTTGCATAAATTTTTATATCATATTTAATTAAAGTAGAACGGCTCGCTCCGACCCAGTGGCATCGGAACCTGGGTTAGGACTGTTCACCTTCATGGGTTGCACGTTCGAGCCCCACGAAACCCCTTTACTCCCTCCTCCAATTAATCCTATAAATAATTACAAATTGTTCCAAAAAAAATTAAAGTAAAATATAAAATAAAAATAAAAATAATATTTATAATCTAAATATGTAAAAAATTATAAATTTAACATAAAAATTATATATGTTAAGCCACGTGAAAAGACCAGATATGCATAGCAGACCTGCACATGAGAGGGCGTGTTTAGTGAGAAAATCCCACATCGAGTATAAAAATAAGAAGACTATGGGTTAAATACAAGAAAAGCCATTCCATCTATAACCAATTGATTTTAGATTGGATGCAACTCTTATATTAAACCCACATGCACGATTTTCACATGCTATTGGAAAATCTCACATCGAGTATAAAAATAAGAAGATTATGGGTTAAATACAAGGAAAGCCACTCTACCTATAGCCAATTGGTTTTAGATTGGATACAAGTCTTATATTAAACCCACATGCACGATTTTCACATGCTATTGGAAAATCTCACATCGAGTATAAAAATAAGAAATTTGTGAGTTAAATATAAGAAAAGCCACTCTACCTATTACCAATTGGTTTTAGGTTGGATACAAACCTTATGTTGAGTTCACATGCACAATTTTCACATGGTATCAGAGCTCGGATTATGTCCTGAGAAGCCCGTTGTTAATAGGACCCGGGCCTACATTTAAGGGCGAATGTTAACCCACGTGACATGACCCAACATTCATAGTGGGCTTGCACGTAAAAGGCGTATCAAGTGGGAAAATCTCACATCGAGTATAAAAATAAGAAACTTGTGGGTTAAATACAAGAAAAGCCACTCCACCTATAGCCAATTGGTTTTAAGTTGGATGTAAGTTTTGTGTTGAGCCCACATACACAATTTTCACATGGTATCAGAGCTCAGATTCTGTCCTAGGAAGCCCGTTGTTAGCCCACATAACAAGACCCGACATTCATAGTGGGCTTGCATGTGAAGGAGCATGTTAAGTGGGAAAATCCCACATCGAATATAAAAATAAGAAACTTGTGGGTTAAATACAAGGAAAGCCACTCCACCTATAGCTAATTGGTTTTAAGTTGAATGCAAACCTCGTATTGAGTCCACATACACAATTTCCACATGTTATTGGAAAATCTCACATCGAGTATAAAAATATGAAACTTGTAGGTTAAATACAAGGAAAGCCATTCCATCTATTGCCAATTGGTTTTAGGTTGGATGCAAGCCTTTTGTTGAACCCGTTGAACCCACATGCACAATTTTTACATAGTATCAAAACGTCTTAAGAAGCCTGTTGTTAACCCACCTGATAGGACTCGAAGTTGAAGTTACTGTGCTTGCATTTAAGAGAGCATGTTAATTCATGTGATATGACCTAACATTCATAACGAGTCTACACGTGACGGGACGCGTTAAGTGAGAAAATCCCACATTAAGTAAAAAAATAAGAAGCTTATGAATTAAATATAAAAAAAGTCACTTCACCTATTGTCAATTGGTTTTAAGTTGGATGCAAGTTTTGTGTTAAACCCACATATATAATTTTTATAATATAAAATTAATTACAAACAATATAATTAATAAAACTTAATATGTATATACAAGGTAGAGAAACCCAATAATCAATTGGAATAAGAGTCACCTGCAGACTGAAGTTAATAGACCCCTTTTTCTCTTTTTCCTCTTGGTGGAATTAAATATTGAATCTTACAAGCCATCAAACTTTGGCGTGAGGAATGAATGCGTGTATGTACTTTGGATCTACAAATATTAAAATAAATAAAGACAAAAGAAAAGAAAACAATAAATTGTCCCATTAAAAGGAAAGAAATAACACTAATAAAACCTCTTGCAAAATTAATATTGCTGCCCTTGCATGCTTTTATTATCAAATTAAATAAAGTAATATCAAATATGCAGTGATATGTGGAGAATTATATTTGTATAATTTTTATTTATAATTTTTATATTATTAAACAATTAAATATATAATATTATAAATTTTAATAAAATTAATAAAATTAATTTTAAATAATATAAAAAATTGTATTAAAAAATTATAATAAAAATTTTAATTTAACCTTTTTTTCAATATTTACTATTAAATTTTTTTCAAAATAGCTTTCGTGCGCCGCTTACTCATCTTACGTATCAAAATAAGACCACAATGATAAGGACAAGAGGGATAGGATTTATATAGTTGGCAAGTTATCTCTCAACAGTCTCGACCCAGCCAACACTTCCACTCTTCCTTCAGCAAAATTGAAAAATTAAATAGACAGTCCTTTTTGGAAAAAAAAGAAAAAAATCAGTTAAGATATGGAAAAGTAAAAATTATCGTGAATAAATTAGGGAGTTACAGTGAAGATTTATTAGTGATGTTTTTCAAACTGACTCTATTTAAAAAAAAAAAAAATTTACGGGACGAACCGAAAAAATGCTTTCTAAAAATGAAGTGCCCCAATTGCCTACTTCCGAAAGTAAAAAAAATCTCAGAATTATTGATGTGTTAGAATGGAGTAGTTAGCCATTAACAAAAAGCAGAAGGAAATCTAACAAAAATCTATGGTAAGCCCCGCACCTTATTAACTATGAAAGTGTCGGTCCTTCAAGTTATAATATCAAAGTTTTAACTTCTTATTTTTTTAATTTAAATGAAAAAATCCAAAATGGATGACAATGTTATGTACTTATTAAAATTCAATTACCCATCGTCGTGTTAGTGCCAACGTGCCAATTTATTGCCATCATGGATTGCCATTTTGGATAATAAAAATAAAACTTGACAAACAAGTTAAATAAGGTGGGTTCAAATTAAATCATTTTAGATTTTAGATTTATTGGGTTTGATCATTTTGAATTTTACGATAAGTAAACCCATGAGTCGCCCATACAAATTTGGGATTGGATCAAGTGGACTTGATTTTTTAAAAATACAAATAAAAATTTTTTAATACTTTTTTATTTTTCTTTAAAAATTTACATTAATTAATTATTTAGTTGAAAAATCTTTCAAATTAATATTAACACTAATAATCTAATAAATAATAAGCATTTTATAGTATTTAATTTTATTTTATACTTAAAAATTAAAATTAAAAGTATAATTAATCAAAATTTTAAAATTTAAAAAATTAATTAACTTTGGTCAATCACCTTGAGTGGACCTGATTTAATTCTAAACCAAGTCAATTGGGTCTAGGTAATTTTAGTTCAAATTATATATGATTCCAGATTGATACTTTAGAGGTTTAAACCTATTACTCTACTCATAGTGAACGAGTTTAAACCTATTACTCTACTCATAGTGAACGAGTTTAATTGAGTCAGATTTTCAAATTAAATTAAATTTTATCAAGTTTAATAAAAGCAAAAAACTATATTATGACACAATAATAATTATGATGGAAAGGAATCGGTGAATGAGTTGAATTGAGTTAGATTTTCAAATTAAATCTAATTTTATCAGGTTTAATAAAAGTAAAAAACTATATTTATGACATAGTAATAGTCATGATGAAAAGGAATTGCCATGTTGGTGCTAACTTATTTTGAGTGTTTTTATTTAAATTGGAAAGATGAGAAGCTAAAACTATCATATTATAAGTTGAGTGGTTGATATTCTTATAATAACTAAGGTGAAGGGCTGGCCATAGATTTTTGCCAAGGAAATCTTTAATTTTTTTTTTTTCTCTTTTTCTTTATGGGTCTTGGTTTTTAGTCAACATCAACTTCCCAGACCAAAAGGAAGAGGTGGGGACTGCGATTAACGTGGAGGGTAGCTAGCAAGAGTGGATCCTTTTCCGTTTTTCTACTTAGAAACGGAGCAAAACTAAAGGGTATATTACAATTACAAATCCTATATGTCATGAACCATTTTTCAAAAAATGTTTTTCTTAAAAAATGGTTTTGTGCCAATTTCTTATACATGTATACCATAATTAACCAATAATAATTTTACTAATTATTAAAAATGAGCTGCATATAAATTTATATAAATCTAATTAAGTGAAAAGTGAAAAAGAAATCAAAATTCTTTTAGTGTTTACATTTAATTAATTCATCTCTTCATGCAAAGATATTAAACAAATGTATGTATGTACACTTGTTTTTCTTTTTCTGGTTTCATACAAAGTGGAGGTTCTTATATTGTCATTGGTTCTATATTATATATATATATATATATATTCAACATAAAGTGTGTAAAATTAAGAGCTAGCTCATCTAGAAATGGAGACCTAGCTACAAGGGCAACCTTTGTATCAAAGTTGTTATTCCTCAAATGATGAGCAAAGGGCCCCCTGCCCTTAGGAACATGCTTTTTGTGGGATCAGCGCTTTATATCCGATTGTCTCAATAAAGCCTTATAACTCTCGGAGCGTATTGATGAGCCGAGTTTAATGTTTATTCTCTCATGACCAAATTTGATTAAGCCCTTGGATTCAAATTATCAAATGAACTACTTTCTTTAACTAATATATGGGGAGATTTTAAGGATAGGAAATTAAATTAAGCATTATATTTTTCTTTTTATATATAATGATAAGTTATAAAATAAGCGATAATTCTCTTTTTAATAAATTGTCCTTCAGTTATTCTATGATTCATATTATATCTTTGTTACTTAGAAAAAAAATGTTGTTTTTTGTTTTAATTTCTCACAAGAAAAAAATAAAAATAAGAAACAATTTGAGCTAAAAATAACTACAATGTCTGATTTCATACTTTTTGAGCACTTAATTAAGGTGTAAGAATATAATCCACAAACTTCTTTAAAAAAAAAAAAAAATCTCAATTTCAAATCCCTATCTCAACTCTCAGGTCACAAAACAAATAATATGATAAACAATTTTATGAAGTCCACCAACAAAACTGGTAATTAGCGTACTAGCATTATCGCGAGTCGTAAGGTTTGTCGGCACTAGATGATTTATGTCTCACACTGAATTTATGATACATGCAAAGGATGAGGTCAAGACGTAACACTCTATTGTTGCATTAATTTGTGAGTCAATTTCAACACATGCCACAATGTAACAAAGAAAACGGCCACATCAAATAATTAATTCTCATGTGTCAATTATTTAAACATTTAGTAATAATTTTTTTTTATGATAAAATAACGATTTTGCATTTAAATTGTTTGATATATACATAAGGTGAACAAAGTTGTTAAAATGTGAAAAATGATTGCTTTATATTGGAGAATTCAAAATAAACTATTTTTTTAAAAAAAGAATTCCAATGCAACCATATGTTGCATGCAAAATTTTGCATGACCAAGTTCGTGGGGACAGAATTTCCATTGAGAATGATTAATTTGCTTTGAAAAAAGAAATGGGGGAAGAGTTTTTTGAGAGGGAAAGACGAGAACAATGGCCTTTTTGGATTGCAGAAATGATGAGTAAAACCTCCCAACAAGCACTAGAGGCCAGTTAGATAAGAGATTACTTGAAATAGTAAAGGGATCTAACAAAGAAGCTTTGGGCTGTTGCTGCCTCTGCAAATTTTGCTTTCTTTCACTGTCAACAGCCTTTGGTGGGAAGCAGATGGGGAAGGCCTGCCTCCTTCATTCCCTCTTTTATCTTCATCATCTGCTTTTAGTAGGGGCCTAAAAAACCTCTCTGTTATGATCTTTTATGGTCAGCTCTTTACTGTTCTTATTCAGATTTACCTTACTTTTGTGCCCTCTCATTAGCAATCCTGGTTTGGCAGTTAACCCTCAATAAAAGTTCAGTCTCCATACCTAAGATATGTACATTCAGTGCTTAGTGATGGAATGGGGAAGAATTTACCTTACTTGAGATTGAGGATAGCTGTGATTTATAAATATGAGCCAATATATCTTTTCATTGCGAGTGAAATTTGGAGGATAGAAATATAAGGGTCATAAGTTAAAACAAACCATTAACATTGATACCAAACGGCCCTAGTAATGTGTGAGACATGGCGTGTACATAAGCTTGGCTAGCACAATGGGACCCTGCCCAAAGGGTGGGCACCCTCCTCACAACACTCCCTACATTTACTATATTTTCACTGAAGGCACAACATGCTGCAGCAACCTTAGCTGGCTCAATGTGTTAATTTCCCATTCCTTTCTGATTGTTTCAAGGGAAAAACTTGGCTAAAGGGCCGGTACTTCCTATCCCAGCATTGTTGACTACAATATCTATGCGATCAAAACTCGACATAACAGTTTATGGCCGATGACATATTTTCATCCGATCAAACATCGAGCTCTAGTGTCTCAATTTTGTCCGAATTGAGATCTAACATCTCCTGCATGCATTGGGAAGATGTCAGGGGCAAAGACATGACAATTAAGCCCAGCAACACTCTTTTTTTTTTTCTTCTTGTCTCATAATTGAATCTTTAGTCTTATAAAGGATTGGATTCATTGTGTTCTACAAGGTATTTTGAAGTTCTATAAACTGCAGCATATTATTAGATGAGATATGCTTGATTCAATTAAGATCAATTAACCTTTTAATAAACCTCATGACTCAAATTCAAATTCTTTAAATTTCAAATAAAAGAACCTAATCAGATACATAAATTCCATTATGTTCCTTAACCAAGACCGTACACTTGACCAAATTACACACAAAAATAAAAAGGAAAAGCAAAAAGAGTAGAAGAAAGAAACAAACAGCCATGAAAAAGCAAACGGCACGCCTCATAAAGAACAAAGAAAAAAAAAAGAAAAAAACAGTTTTGGCAGGTCTGTGATCACAAGTGAATGAACTTTTGAATAAGAGTGATCAGAACACAAATATTGACAAGGCATGTCTTCCCTACTAAACTAAAGCCCCAAAAGCCAACAGGTAATTTACACTTAATTAAAGAAGTTGGCTTCAACAAAATTAATTCTAGTTAATTAATTATTCAATCGTTAATTAAATCCTTACTATTACCTAACAGCTACAAAAACCAACTAGCAAAGAAGTTTCTCAATATTCAAATTCTTTCCCAATGAAACAAGAAATGGATTAATGAGAACTGAGGGAGAAGGAATTTGGAAATTCACGTGGGAAGCATAAAATCCAAAACAAAATCTAAATAAGATCACAGGAATGGACAAGATATAATACAATAGTCAACAGAGAAGATGGCAAGAAGAGAAAAAAAGCATGTAATGGATAGCAACCACTCTGTGGGTGACTCAGAGATAAGAGTGTGTATGCAATATGCATGGGCTAAAAGGTCATTGGCTATCTTTTCCTTTTGGAGTGTGCTTGTACACTTATCACTAATAAAGTGCTGCTTCCAGTTTCTCTGCATACTCCTAACCTCATTACTCTCCTTTAACTTTTCTTTACCTTCTCTGCTCTGTTATGTCATGGTCTACAAAGGCTCAATTGGAGATGTCATATTCAAACATTTGATTTTCTTACAAGAGCTGCAATCTTTTTGGTTTTTTGGTTTGTGGGTTTTGTTTTGATTTTATTGTTTGTCCTAGTTGATGGAGTGATGGATTTGTTATTGTTTCCTACAGTTGTGAGTTGTGAAAAGGCTGGGAGTTTGGGACTGGTCTAAAACTCAAGGAGATCCCACTAGATTTTCTAGCACAAATAGAGAAAACCATCTACATAGACAAGGAAAGCAAGCAATAGGGAAGCTCCATTAAAGCCATACAGCATCCATCACCAAGTTACCCACATTCCTAGGACCCCTATAGAGTCTGAAAGAGAGTGCAAACAGAGAAAGTTTTGTGGGGAAGAATTGAATAAGGTGGATACATAAGCTCATATGGTTATTGGTGGGGTTTCTTTCAAAGAAGAATCCAAACCCTTAACTCTCCTTGGTTAAAGAGGTGCCTTTCATGTCTGCTACAAGAAAACCCAGGAAATATGGGTTACCATAGATGCCACTTTTTCTTTGTCTCCACAACAGCACAAGGAAATGGAAATGCAGATTAAAGAGATGTTTTTGGAATTTGGGAATTTTTTTTAAAAGGAGAGGAGACACATTGACTTAAAAAATACTAGAATGTATTGAAAAGGACAGCCACCCAACTGATTTAACTCCATTACATGGTAGACAGCTTAGGCATTTTGTACATTTTCACCTAAAAGGAGGTGATTTATTAGAGCATTTAGACTATTATTATCAAAAGAAGAAAACAGGGCATGGACATAAATCACAATTATGGATAGAATATGTAGCTAGGGAAAAAGCAACACAAACCACAACTATTGAAAGTTGAAATTTATCCCCTTAGATCCATAGTTCAGGTTCAAATTATTCACCTCTCCCCTACACAAGCACACTGTTCATTTTGATTTCCTCTCTTGCTCACGATCTGCATCTCCTGCGCGGTGCAGACAATTTGAGAAGTCATGTAGGATCATTAGATTTCACAATTTGACATGGATTCCATAGATTCCAGAAAAGAAAACATCTATAAATTAGTGATGTAAGAGACCATATTTCATGAAATCCTTAAAAGTTATCAATGCTACCCTAAGCCAAGATCAAATCCAACTGAATTTGTAGCTTTTCTCATTTTTTTTCACGGTGATGAGAAAGATACAAGAAAACAAAACCAGATCTTAGAGAAATATTGTACAACTTATCTTTTTTCATAAAGTGAAGGCCTAATCCAAGATAGGACTTCTGTGTTAATCAGTAAAGTGGGCCTATCAATATGCTCAAACAAATAGGCCTTTTATAACCAGAAGACAGGCTGAGCTGGACCGATGAGAGCCCGTTCAAGTCCAGGACGGAATTAGAAGCAAGATGGTGCTGACTGATGAGTTATAAGTTTTGAAGTTTAAACAGAGATCCTATTCCTAAGAGCACCTCTACCTGACCCCCTTTGGTTATGGTTTTCCACTTCCAATGGCTTCTGGCTCATAAAGATAATAAGCATCAGGTTAAACCCCTAACTTGCTCCCTTAACTTTTGTATGGACACTTGAATTAGTTTTTGAACTAAAAAAATTCTTGATATGATTCCTAAAACTTTTAAATTTAACTCCAAATTAGTTCTTCCATTAAAAAACAGCTGAGGTGTCCAATTGTCTTCTGCTATCAAGTAATGGATATGTTAGCTGTATTTTAATAAAGGGACCAACTTAGAACTAAATTTAAAAATTTTAAGGAACAAAGCAGAGATTTTTTTTAATTTAGGGACTAACTCAAAGGTTTGTCTAATAGTTGAGGGACCCAATTTAGAGTTTCGCTTAACATTAAAAAAGATACAAAAAATGAGAACCAAAAAAAAGGCGCACACACACACACTTGCCTCTGGATTATATCAGTTACAAGCCACAAATCAAGTACCCATCTGCAGGACCAGCATTGTAATGATTCGAACCCCACTGACTGCTTCCAACACTAGAATCATCATACACTTGGATGTTGTAACCATGAACAGGGGCATCACCATAATATACAGGATATAAGTAAGGATAATACCAAAGATAATAGAACCCTATACCACAAGAACTCCAACAGGATGGAAGACTGTAAGTATTGTAGACGTCTTTGTAAAACTTAAAGCTAGGGGGACTATTTGAAGGTTCCTTGGTAATATGAGGGGGAGGGAGAACCCTAGGATCAGCCCTCTTCACTTCCACATGTTTTCCTTTCAATTCATGGAACTTCACCCTCAACACAGTCTCAAAAGTCTCCTCTGACTCAAAAGTAACGAATCCAAACCTCCTAGATCGACCATTCTCTTTGTTTACCACCACAAATGCATCTTCAGTTCTACCATAATTCTCAAAGTATGCCTTCAAATCTTCATTTTGCAAGTGAGGGTGCAATCCCCCCACAAAAATCTTGTTTTTGTTGGAGTTGTTCTTACTACTATTGCTTCTATCTTCATTTACCAATCCATTCCTCTGTTCTTGGTTTCTGTTAACCTTTGATCTTGCATAGCTCACGTCAACCTGTAAACAAATATATTAACAACTATTAACAAGAATCTAGGAAAAGGCAAAACGAAAGTTAAAAGCTTCAAAGCTTACCTTTCTGCCCAAGATAAGATGCTCTTCTTGGAGAGCCGTTGCAGTCATTGATGAATTGGTGAAGGTAATAAAACCAAACCTTTTTGAAAGACCAGTGTTCTTGTCACTGATGATAATAGATTCTTCCACTTCGCCATAGTTGCTAAAGTGTTCTCTCAGTGCATCTTCAGTTATGTCCATTGAGAAACCCCCAACGAGCAACTTGTTGAGTCTTCCAGACTCCATCGACAAACAGCCTTTCAAACCCCCAACAATTGCAAGAAGATACTCCGAAAATTGGAGATTGGAGAAGATGATACAGAAGGGAAAAAAAACCTAGAATAGTAAGAGTTTACACATAAAAGACCAAACAAGAGAGTTTGATTGAAGTACAAACTCAATTACAAGAGATTAAATTTCACCGTGAGTCCTTTGAAGTTTGTAGTGTTCATTTGTTATTAGGACTCCCTGAATTTTACACTTAGAAGATGTAGATAATTTCACATACCCAAAAAAACAGGTTAAAAAAAGAAATAAATAAATAAATTCACCAAGAAGGGAAAACAAAGAGATCGGCTTTCAAGTTTTTTCAAAAAAGAGTCGGCATTTCATTGAAGAGAATTGGGAGATTTTGGAGAGAGGAGGGATGCTCTAAAATTATTTTTCCCTGTTTTTTCTCAAATCCCTAAAACCCCAAGGCATAATTGTAAGTTGGAATTTGAACACAAGTAGATAATTATACAAGCGATTAATTTGCTTGCAAGTTTACAAATATAAGTGCTTACATTTTATTAACAATGGGGATATTAAATACAGCTGATATTATGGGTTTCTTTACATGATTGAGGGCAATAAATTACTGATGGCACAAACCAGAAATAGAAGACTTGAAAGCCAGAAGTTGAAGCAGGCTTGTGAAAATGACTTAAAAATTATTCTATACAGTTGAGGCTGGAGCTCTACAGCAGATACCAATAATATCATCTAAGGGAGCATGATCACCTGTCCCTTCATCTTTACGTGCATATAACAACTGTTTCCCTTTGAAAACAAACATGCCACCCTAGTAAGAGAAAACAAAAAATCAGTTAATTTTGAAACTCTAAATGCACCCGAAGATATGGCTAGAATAAGTCAAACCTGTTGAAGAACACCGCTTATATCATCAGGGGTGCCCTCGAGGGTATAGTTCCTCTTTAAAGCATTCCGTAGAGATTCAAACCTTGAAGACACCTTAGCCAGCCAAACCAAACAAATACAACACACATTATACAACAACAGACAATGGATTTCCATGGAAAAGAAAATTCTTTGTAGTAATAGAGAAGGGGTTTACGCTTGCTGGACTAAAAAGTGTTCGGCCAAGACCATAGTACAAACCCAATACCTCATATGCCTGAAAGAATAAGTATACAAAGTTCAAAGTGACTTTGGAGAAAAAAACCTCAACAATTCTGGCTGTATTAGTGTCAGTATAAATCACCTTGCGTTCAGGATCAGCATAAAGGCAATCCTTTGGGAATGGTAACTGCACATGTGATAACATTAGAGCAATATAAACTCCAATAATTCGAACAGGTCCAAATTAAAAAAAAATTGATAATCACATTATCATCTTTCTTCCTGGTCATATTATCAATTTGGCAAAAGAAAAAGATAATAGTAAAATAAAATGATAATCACATCATCATTTTATCCTAAGAAGCTACATTACGCTGAATATTATTTCCCTGTTCATTTTACAGTAGTTGTCCCTTTTGACTTTTTGCAGGCAACTTTAGTAATAATGCACTTTTATATATAAAAATGGTAAGTAATTGATCTTGTAGGTGAAGTTCAAGTTCAAGTTTAACCATATATTGAGGTTGAAGAGAATTGAAAGGAGGCAATGAGAAAACTTTTTAACTAATCAAATTATAACATTACAATTTGATGAGTTAAAAAATCTTCTCCTCTCCTCCCACTTATTCCCTTTAACCCAAATATTCTATAAGTTTAAGCCAAAAATCATTTGAGAAGAGATTAATAGAGGCAAGCGAAAGCAACAAAAAAAGAACTATTTGAATAGTAACATAACAGTACCCGGTCTGCCAAGATGCGTGCTTTATTAGGAGTACCAACACCAACCGCAATTAGTTTGACACCAGCAGAGTCAAATCCTCCTTTTGATTCTTTTAATGCAGAAGCAAGATCCCAACTTAAAATAAAATAATAAGAAATTCATGAGTTACAATCTATGATCCTTATTCTTTCTGAAAAGGGTTCCTTAAAACAATTGTATTTACCAGCAAAAGCATCCAAAATGTCGTAAAAGTGCAACAACTGCCATTCCCTGCAAAAGAGAAAAAAAAAAATTTTGAATAAGGGCAGTTGGAGAACAAGGAAAGAACAATGAAGAAATTGAGATCAAATTGGGCGGTGGGTTGATGAGTACCTCTTTTTGGTCCCAGAGATCTTTGAAGAAGACGGGCTGGCCGTCAGCCGTGAAAATACTAACATCACCGAGGATATCGCTGATGTTTTCCGTGAAATCTGAGGCGGAAGCTCTGGTAACTAGGGGAGACTGGAGATTGATGCCATAGTTACCTCGGTTGTGCTTTGTTGGTCTAATTGGGGAAGAAATGGGAAAAGCTATTGAGGGGAATTGAGACGGGTATTTGCAACATGGTTTTGAGGAGGAGGAGGAGGAGCAAAGGGGTCGCAGAGATTGCAGTTGCAAAGTTCGTGAAAAAACCATGGCCATGATTCGATTCTTTCTGAAACCCTAACGCAGGAACAGCAACTCTGGGAGAAAGAGGGAGTGAGGGAGGGGGAGAGAAATGGCGGGGGGCTAATGGTTCGCGCGTCGCGGGAGGGGTTTCTGGCTGTTGGGCCGTTGGCTGCTGAAGGCCTTACGATAGCGCTTGATTCGTGTGGGCATTGAAATGTTGAGCTGTGTTTTTGGGCTATTGGCCCAGGTTGACGAACTTCAGTAAGGCACCAATTCAGGGCAGTAGTAGTTGTCTTAAAAATAGTCAGATCAGAAGTACTTTAGTTAATGTATTAGTTTTTAAGAATTTAAACTTTTATATTAAGAATTTAAAATTTAAATTTTGAAATAGCCAGGACGAAAAGTTTAAAAAGGAAAGGTTATTCTTATTATATACTTTATTATTTAATATATCAAAAAAATTAATAATCTAAATAATTCAATGGTAATATCATTTTACTAGAAGTAAAAGATTTTAAATGCAAATAGCATAGCATATGGGTAGAGTGAGATAAAAAATGAGAAAGGATTGTGTTTCGTTGTGCAATCAACATAAAAAATGTATATACATATATCAAAAAATAAAGAATATTACATAAAAATTGAATTAAGTCTTTTATTTTGTAAACCAAACTATAAAACAAGAGTAATTAAATAAAGAGGTACTTTTTAATATTAAGAAACTTATTTCATTCAATAATAAATGTTATGTATTTCAAATTACATAACACATTTTTTATTTTAGTTCGAATGTTTAACTTCTACTTTTAAAAAATTATTGTTAAAATACTTAGGTTGCTGATGAATTATTATGCATGCACTTCTATTTCTAGATTCTAAAGAG